AAATTTAAAAAATAAAAATTAAAAAAAAGTTGAAGTGAAGCTGTGGCTTGAGTAATAGTGTTAAACTTGAACACAAAACCTCAGGGATAGTGCCTAAGCCCTGAATTTGAGCCCCAGGACTGGCACCAAAAAAAAAAAAAGCTTCAAATTGTTTTTTTAATGTGTCCAGTGAACTTCAGACTTTGTTCACATATCAGTTTCTCAAAGAGGCCAATGCAACCCAACTCTAACACTGCCTTGCTGTTTTTTTCCCAAACATACCTCTAGGACACTACATAGTTTGCATTACTATATGATTACACAAGTATAATTTATATAGGAAATGTAATATACTTTTTACAATTATCATCTGACCACTAGAATAGAATTTCTATGGGGAGAAGATTTTTGTTATTATTCACTAATGGATTCCTAGAACTTAAAAGTATCAACAAATAATTTGTTGAGTGAGGATGAGCGAAGTAGCTCATATCCACAGCAAGATGGAAGGAAAGCAGATGTTTTTATCCGCACCTTATTTTTTATTTATTTACGTATTTATTTATTTTTAGATTTTGAAAGTTTCATTGTAAAGGTGATGTGTAGAGGGGTTACAGTGACATCAGTCAGGTCATGAGTATATTTCCTTTTGAACAATGTCACCCTCTCCCTCATTCTCTCACAGATTTTCCCCTCCTAACTTCCCTCCCCTCAAATTTGTTTAGTTCATTTCCAACATAGTGTCTAGTGGATTTTACTGCTGAATTGGTTTACCTTCTGTCCCACAGTTTCTTTGCTTACCCTTCCCCTCACCAAATCAATAAACTTATATACAAAACAAAGGATAGAGAAATCAAAAACAAGGACAGACGGGAATAAACCAAAGAAAGAAAGAAGAACTACAAACAGTGCAATTTAAAAACCTCTTGTTTCCATTTCTTGGAGTTTATTTCCATTAGCATCATTTTATAAGAATGCAGCTTGCAATAGCTTCTATAGTACAAGTTGCCTTATTACCCTTAGCTTGTGTAATGCCTTTCATGACACATCACACCAGGAATCATGTTCCAGAAAGCTTTGTGTGATGCCCTAAATTTGAGGTATGTGTCTCATATATGTGCTCTTTTAGTCTATATTTTCATATACTTTCTTAATATACATTTTTATTGTAAAGATACTGTACAGAGGGGTTACAGTTACATGATTAAGGTAATGAGTATGTTTCCTATCAAACATTGTTACCCCCTCCTTTGTTTTTTCCCTATCATCCCTTCCTTCCCCAACTTCTCCCTCCTCCCCTCCAAAGTTTTAAAGTTCATTTTCAACATAGTGTTTTGTACATCTCATTGTTACAATTGGTCAACCTGTATCCTTGTGTCAGCATTTTGTTATTTCCTTTCCCCTCCCCAAATTACAAAAAGGCGGGAAGAACATACAAAGAAACAAAAGAAAATCACATAGTACATTATAACTACATTAAAAACAATAGCAAGAAAGATAGAACCCCTTGTGTCCCTATCTTGGGGTTCATTTAGCTTAGCATCATCTTATACGTACATAGCTTTTGACCTTTTCTGCTTGTCCTAGACATATACTAGTTTGCAAATAAAGGAAACCATGGGACCTATGTTTCTTTGGGCCTGGCTTACTTCACTTAATATAATTTTTTCGAAGTCTTTCCATTTCCTAACAAATGGGGCAGTGTCATTCTTTCTGATGGAGGCATAGAATTGCATTGTGTCTGTCTGTGTGTGTGTGTGTGTGTGTCTGTGTGTGTGTGTGTGTGTGTGTGTATACATACCACATTTTCTTCATCAATTCATCTACTGAGGGGCATCTGGGTTGGTTCCATATCTTAGCTATGGTGAATAATGTTGCAATAATCATAGTTGTCAGCATCTTCTTTTAATGAATGTCATTAAACTACTAGCACAGAATGTAACTTCAAGAATGTCAGTATATCTTTGCTATTTCCTCATTGAAAAGAGGAACAGGAGTTTTCCAATGTGAAACTTCATACATATCTTTACTATTTTTGTACAGGGCTCAATTGCAGCTCTGACTCTCTCAGTCCTAATTTCTTTTCTTTTCTTTTTTTTTTTTTTTGGGGGGGGGGTCCGGTTGTGGGGCCTGAACTCTGGGCCTGGGCACTGTCCCTCAGCTCTTCAGCTCAAGGCTAGTGCTCTACCACTTGAGCCACAGCGTCACTTCCGGCTTTTTTTCTTTCTGCTTATGTGGTGCTGAGGAATCCAACCCAGGGCCTCAGGCATGCAAGGCAAGCAAGCACTCTACCACTGAGCCACCTTCCCAGCCCCCTCCTAATTTCTTTTTTATTACTTTCATCAGTGAAAATCAGAACTACACCTTAAAACTGATAATTAACCAGCCAGAAAGTTCACAAACAAATGTCTTGTCTATCACTACTTTAAATTTTCCCAGTTCAGTACAAAGGAAATGTAAAGGATTGAAGCATTTTCTTTAGACTAAGCTAACTAAATGTAGCTCTTCATGAAGCAGTAGAGAAACATAAATATTCGTTTCTACACATAAATATGGCTTCTGCACAGGCATTTACAAACTCTTTGAGGCATCCCCTAGTGGGTTGAACCTTTTGAAGAATAGATTGGAACATCTTTAGTAGGAAATTCATAAGTTCAGGTTGGCATGACAATAAGGGAAAATGGAGTATGCCCAATCCTAGGCTATAGAAAATGGGTACAGTGGATTGTGGGGAAAGAACCACACTGTGCCACTAATCTAAGGTAGGACCGTTCCTGTGATGGCAGTAATGAATTATTTACATTTATCAAAATACAAGTATTCAACAGAGAAACAAGTCTTTTCCTCATCTTTCAGGTATAGAAGGGAACAATAATGTAGGGAATTGTTGTTCCTCAAGAGAAAGATAGCTAATAAATGTGTCAAGACGGCAAAATTCTTTAAACTGTGTCTTTGCCTATACCTAAAACATCCTGAGCATTCAGATCCAGCCGTTCTAATGACCAGCCACACTATGAACAATATGACTAAGTATAGAGGAGTCATTCTGCTGCCCAGACTGAAGACAAGTAAGCCAGAATGGAGCAGTTCTGCAAGTTGGATCAATTCTACAGATCTGGGACTTGAAAGAAATTATTATGCCTGAAAGAAATAACTAGTATGTGTCTAGGACAAGCAGAAGAGGTCAAAAGCTATGTACTTATAAGCTATGACCATATAAGATGATGCTAAGTGAAATGAACCCCACAATAGGGACACAAGAGCCTTTATCTTTCTTGCTGTTGTTTTTAATGTACTATGTGATTTTTTTTGTTTCTGTATAACCCCTGTCTTCACTGTATTTGATTCCGGTGCCCTGCATGTTGTAAATATATTTTTCTAATTTGGGGAGGGGAAGGGAAATAACAAAATGCTGAAACAAGGATACAGGTTGACCCATTATAACATTGAAATGTACAAGACACTATGTTGAAAATGAATTTTACAACTTTGGTGGGGAAGTGGGGGAGGGAGGAGCTGGGGAGGTGAGGAGGGAATGGGTGGTAAGAGAAAATCAAAGGAGGGGGTAACAATGCTTGATAAGAAATGGACTTGTTACCTCACTCATATAACTGTAACCCTTCTGTACAGTATCTTGACAATAAAAATATATATTAAAAAACAAAAAAAATCAAATTGTGAGCAAAAGATCACTTTATTATAAGGCTTTCAAACTTAGAAATATTGTCCAGGCTAAGGGTAACCACTGCCTTCAGATGCTACATGGCTCAGCCAGGGAAAAGGGACTCGTGGGTGATCTGAAAAATTGCTCTGCAGATAAAACAGAGGCAAAATATTTACTAGTATTGCTCTTTGAGAATGAAAACAGCCTTGGTCATGGACACTAAGATGAGTGCTTCTACTGGGTAGGAACCCATTTGTTGCCTTTCATTACAGTCCTTGTTCAGGGAATTAAAGCATAGCCCACAGTTCCCAGATGCGTGCCTTCTGGTATTGTAGCCATCTACACCGTAAGGCACACTTCAGGGCATTGGCATAGGACTGGGAATGTCCTGTGTGCCGACGACAATGCTCCAAGGAAATGTTCAAAGGAATGAGAAACAAACTGAAGAAGGTTTGACTCACAATTTGTGAGTCAGTCAACTGGCCAGAAAGAGCCAGCTCTGAGGTTGTTTTTTTTTCTTCCTCTTTCTTGCTTTTTAGCCTTTCAAAGCAAAGCCAAACACACACACACACACACACACACACACACACACACACACACACACACACAGAGGCCATAAACTTTTCTTAGGATTTAATAATGTATAACAGCTATGTTCCTCTGGACATTTTTTGAACACTCACTACATGAACATTTAACTCAAAACAAGTTAAACTGCTTCTTCTCATAAATGATTTACATTCAATTTTTCTAATAATCTTATAGAACAGGTACTATTATAATTTTCTCCATTCTACATATGAGGAAACTGAAGATCTCAGAGATGAAGAAGACTTACCCTAGAACCAGAACCAAGACTGGAACCCCCACCTTGTTTCAAGGCAGGGTTCATATGTGGCAATCAATTAGCATCAGATTATTTTGCATCACAGTGCTCCTTGAGGAAGCAAATGTCCTCTGTACTATGTGACAACTATTTGTGTCTTTGAGACATTCATGTCTCTAGAAGGAATAATCAAGCCATTCACCAATGGCTCACACCTCTATTCCTAGCCATGCAGGAGGCTGAGATCTGAGCATCAAGGCCTGAAGCCAGCCTGGGTAGACAATTCCAAGAGACACTTACCACCAATGAACCAGCAAAATCCTGAAACTGAAGGTATGGCTCAAGCAGTAGACCAATCACCATGAGCTATGCTGACCATGAGCGAGAGCGCCCAAGGTCCTGAATTCAAATCTAAGTAATAGCAGAACAAAAACAAAGTCATCCTTCTAGCCTCATTTTTCATGTTTCAAATGTGTACTTATGGAGTTGGACGTTTGAAATTCACATGTCCTTTCCTCACTGCTTTTCTAGATTTTGATAGGAGCGGTCATTGCCATGGGCTCAGCCGACAGAGATGGCCGCTTACACCCAGGAGATGAGCTGGTGTATGTGGACGGGATTCCAGTGGCTGGCAAGACCCACCGCTATGTGATCGACCTCATGCACCACGCAGCCCGCAATGGGCAGGTCAACCTCACTGTGAGAAGAAAGGTGCTCTGTGGAGGTAGGTATATGACGCAGGAGGCAAGGCTTGGGAGTTAGGTGGTCCAATGTTTCTGTGAAACACAGAAACACACTTCTAAGTCCGTTTCTGTATTATATAAGGGAAGAAGCAACCTAGATATTCCTAAAGAACTGACTGATTTTGGAAGTGCAGACTTTCACCCCACTAGTACAAAAATCTGGTCTTTGAAGCCTACATTTCAAATGGAGTCATTAAAAATTTCTAGTGAAGCCTGGGGCTAATATCAGATACGTATGCTTTTTGCTTTTTGTCAGATGGTAGTTATGAAAGCAGTGTTACAGTCATGGAAAAATATGCTTTTTAAAAATATTCCGCATTGCATTTACAAACAACAACCAAAAACACACATACACACAGAATTTTGATACCATAATAATGGTGTACCAGGAAGGAAAATTAACTTTCATTGTTGAGCCTGATAAAAGGTAATAATAAAACTGTCGCCCCATGTAGAAAAATACAGCTCTGACTCTGGGAAGACATAATTCTTATAGCTCCAAATTTATGAAACAGATATATTAGAAGTGATTATTCCCTTTACACCTATTTTCTTAGCTTCATAAGAGACTCCAGCAAAGACATACTTTTAAAAGTCAGCTCATATATTCATAATATATCTAATTTGTGTCTCTTACCATCTCAACTCAAAAAAGTAATATGATTTTAAGAAATATGTCTATTACAAGCACCATTATATATAATCTGGAAATGAAGTAAATTTGAGAATGTAAATTTTTTTCCCTAACAATTTCCCATGCTCTAAAAATACTGTGGTCCTGTCCAACCCAGGATCAGGATCGAATGAAATTCCCGTCACCTGCTATCCCAGAGTGGCTTCTCTACCCAGTCCCTCAACATCCTCATACAGACCCAGCAATTCTAGAATTAGGAAGGATCTTTCCAATCTGAGTTCCTTCCCATTACAGATTACAATTGGTCCCCAGAGAATGTGTATCTTGCCTAGTATTCCACAGTGAATTAGTGATAACCCAGAAATTGATATTGTGTGTGTGTGTGTGTGTGCGTGTGTGTGTGTGTGTGTGTGTGTGTGTGTGTGTGTGTGTGTATGCACATGCACACTGGTCCTAGAGCTTGAACTCAGGGGCTGGGCACTATCCTTGAGCTTATTTTCCTCAAGGTTATCACACTACCATTTGAGCCACAGCTTCACTTTTGGCTTTGTGTGTGGTTAATTAGAGTATCATGAACTTTCCTTCCCTAGCTGGCTTCAAACATCAGTTCTCAGATCTCAGTCTCCTGAGTAGCTAGGATTACAGGTGTGAGCCACCAGAGCCCCGCTTGGTTTGTTATGCTACATTCAGCTGCCTCCCTATTTTAAGACATGATTCCCACTCCCAATGAATTTGAACACTAATTTTTAATAAATGGCACTCCATTTATAGGATCTTCCATTAATGGATCTTACATATTGCATATAATATTGGAATTTTTTAAGGGAGCTACCTGCTGATCACAGGATATAAGTGACTGAAAGAAATAAGATTTATCACTTGGACTAAATATCCTTTCCTTTTGAGTCCTCTAGGAACTAGAGTTAAGCAAGGGCAATCATTTAAAAGGGCAAGTCAGAAGAATTGTCAGTCCTCACCAGTACAGATACAGACTGCTGTATATCTTGTATTGGATGGAGGTTTTACTAAGAGGTGCCGTTTGTCTTCAGAAATCCCTGGCATAGCACTTGACCCAAAGAAGTAAAACACATTGAATTATGGCTTATCCTTGGGCAAAATGCCAGGAGGAAGATCATGCTTCCTTGGTTAACATTTAACTGTCTTTCTCCCTGAAGAGTGCTTTTCTTTTAATAGCAAATTTACTGTACTATAGGTTCTGTAGCCTAAAGATAAATTAAAAAGATACCTGATTTACAAGGAAATATATTGCAAAGTGCAAAACCAATGCACTAACATAATTTCATGCTCCCCTTGCCACTGGCTGATTATTGCAAATTAAATTTTGTTCTAATCAACCCAAGCTGTTGGGGAAGATGCCAAATGCTGCACAAAGGTATTCTTCCAATTTGTAAGTCACATGACTGCTCTAAAGCTGCTCTTCACTACAGTTCTTACCAACTTTAGACTGTTAGGCTTTTGAGTGCAATTGAAATATATTTAATTTTTTTAAAAAAATGTTCTGCTACAGACTGCTCATTCACACCAGGAGATATTCCAAGTTAATTCAGTTAAATCAGTTTTGAAAATGATCAAGTTCAGCAAAAGGATATTTTGAGAGCAAATAATATGCCTAAAAACAAAATGGAAGAGATTTAATTTAATTTAATTTTGTTGTAAAGGTGATGTACAGAGGGGTTACAGTTACATAAGTAAGGTAATGAGTACATTTCTTGTCAAACATTGTTACCCCTCCCTATTTTTTTCCACTATCCCTCCCACTGACTCCCCCTCCCAAGTTGTAAAGCTCATTTCCAACCTAGTGTCTTGTGAGTATCACTGTTGCATTGGTTCACCCTTTGTCTTTGTTTTACCATGTTGTTATTCCTCTTCCTTCTCCAAATCAGACAAATGTATATACAAGACACAGGATACTAAAATCAAAAACAGTGGCAACAGGGGAAAAAGGAAAGAAAAAATGAATACAGTGTATTGAAAACAACATCAACAACAAAAAACCTATTGTTTCCATATCTTGGAGTTCATTTTGACTAGCATCATTTTATATGGTCACATGTACACAGCTATTGAGCTATTATGATCCTCTTCTAAGAGTATCCTAGACATATACTATTACAAATGAGGGGAACCATGGAGCCTATGTTTCTTTGGGTCTGGCTTACTTCACTTAATATAATTTTTCCCCAAGTCTTTCCATTTCCTAACAAATGGGGTGATGTCATTCTTTCTGATGGGAGCATAGAATCCCATTGTGTATATATTTTCTTGATCCATTCATCTACTGAGGGGCATCTGGGTTGGTTCCATATCTTAGCTATGGTAAATAATGGTTCAAGGAACATAGTTGTGATGGTAGCTTTTAGTGTGGCCTTGTTTGTGATCATTTGGGTAAATGCCCAGGAGTAGGACTGCTGGATCATAGGGTAGTTCTATGTTTAGTCTTTTGAAGAACCTCCATACGGCTTTCCAGAGTGGTTGAACAAGTTTACACTCCCACGAACAGCATAGTAGCCTTCCCTTTTGGCCACATCCTAGCCAGCACTGCTATTGTTTGTTTTATTGATAATGGCCATTCTAACTGGGGTGAGGAGGAATTTCAATATGGTTTTGATTTGCATTCCTTTTTTTTAATTGTACAGAGGGGTTATAATTACATGAGCAAGTTAATGAGTACATTTCTTATCAAGCATTGTTGCCTCCTCCTTTATTTCCCCTTCCCATCCCTTCCCAACCCCCGCCCCCCCCACCCCCGCCAAAGTTGTAAAGTTTGTTTTTTGACATAACATCTTGTATATCTCATTCTGCAATGGGTTAATCTGTATCCCTATTTAAACAATTTGTTTTTTCCCTTCCCCTCCACAAATTATATCAACATCAAATACAGCATTTCTTTTGCAATCAGAGATGTTGTACATTTCTTTTTTTGGTTTATTTTTTTCTTGTCCATCATGGGGTTTGAACCTGGGCACTGTCCCTCAGCTCTTCAGCTCAAGACTAGTGCTCTACCACTTTAGCCATAGCACCACTTCTGGTTTTTCTGGTGGTCTATTGGAGATAAGAGTCTCACGGACTTTCCTGCCTGGGCTGACCTTAAGCCACGTTCCTCAGATCTCAGCCTCCTGAGTAGTTAGGATTACAGGCATGAACCACCAGCACCCGGCAAATATTTCTTCATGTATCTATTGACTATTCTTATTTCCTCTCCAAAAAAGTCTCTTTTTAATTCTTTTTTTTGGGGGGAGGGGTTGGTCATAGGGCTTGAACTCTGGGCATGGGTGCTCTTCCTCAGCTCTTCAGCTCAAGGCTAGGGCTCTACCACTTGAGCCACAGCGCCACTTCTGGTTTTCTGGGGAGTTTCTTGCCTGGGCTAGCAAGAACCATGGTCCTCAGATCTTAGCCTCCTGAGTAGCTAGGATTAAAGGCATGAGCCACCAGCTCCCAGACTCTTTTTAATTCTTTAACCCACTTATTAATAGGGTGGTTGTTTCTTTGAGGATTTTTTTGTTGGGGGGTTTCATTTTTTGAGCCCTATATATATTTTTTATATAAAACCCTTGTCTGTTGTATCACTAGTGAAGGTCTTCTCCCAATCTGTTTATCTTGCTAACTTTGTCCTTTGCCATGTAGAAGCTCTACAGTTTAATTGGCATTTCTTTGATTTATTGTACTTCTGGATGTTTTGACCTGTGTCAAGGAGCCCTAACATATCTCATATCCCTTCCTGTAATATTTTCAGGGTCTCTGCTCTTACCTTGAGGTCTTTGATCCACTTGGAGTTGATTCTGGTGCAGGGTGATATATAAGGATCTAACATCAGTTTTCTACATGTGTATAGCCAATTCTGCCCCCACCATCTGTTGAAAGGCTATCTTTCTTCCATCTGATAATTTTGACTCCCTTATCAAAGATTAGGTGGAATCACATCTGAGTCCATAATTCTATTCTATTGGTTCCTTACTTAGTTGTTGTTTTTACCCCTCCCCCCAAGGACATTAAAAGAGTGCCTTTAATTATTATAGTGAAAATATAAATATTTATATGCTCAGTAGCTCAGCTTCAAGACGTTCTGTGTAATGACACATTAGTCTGAATGCACACAATTTGTTTGAGAGGAAGGTGTCTCTGAGGAATTTCCTAGAATGTAAATCTAGAATTGATGTGAAAGGAAGTTTTATGACTTAATCAAAACATGTTACAGTCAGTGCCAAAGCTATCAGCATTTCCTAGAGGAAAATCATTCCTGGTCTGATGAGGAAGGAAGGCTTTCCTGGCAGCAGGGTGAGAAATTTAACCAGTTTATCCCCTGGTTCTGTTTCCTACCCTTGGTCCATTTTAAATGCATCCCCTTTCCTTTGTCTGTATGTCACCCATTTTATCAAGTTGCCTTCCTTTGGGTAGAAACCAAAAGTGTGCACACAAATGCCTGCAGGCATGCCAGTCCCTGACATTGTGGAGCGACATCTCAGTCTGTTACCTGCCCCCTTGAGGTACCACAAGGGTCCCAGTACTTACACAAGTGGACATCCTGGCTCAGATATCAGCTCTGCCCATATACCCCCATTGCTTCACCTATAATTCAACGTAAGATATACCCCTCTACAGTCCTGTCATGTTTCGTGAGAAGAATCCTGAGGAGGAGGTCTGGAAGCAGGCAAGATCTATCTGGTTACAGAAGCCTAGTGTTCTGATAACAGAGGGTGTGGATCTAAAAGAGAAATGTAGGTTCTTGTTGGACAAGTCCCCTTGACCCTGAGGATTTCTTAGTCTGTGGATAAATCAATGAAAAAAGCTGATATTTGAAAGAAACATTGGGTCACAGTCAGGCCCTGCAAGCTATCTACTCAAAAGAGTATCCATTGTCTAACTATAGTTGATTATTGCCAGTATTTCAAAGCATCCCCATTTCTGTAAAATCTCCTTGCTAGTAAACCTTGGCAATTCATTTAACAATGAGTAAGCATAAGTACAAGGCAGCAGTGTTGCTTCTATACAAACCATAAGCAATGCCTGATCCACAGTTAATGTCCTGTTGTAAGCCACCTCACCAAGAAGCATTATCCACACCCCTGCCTCCCAAAGAGACATTCCTTCCGGTCAGGGCAGTGGTGTTTTCCACTATCACCAGCGGGAACAAAAAGGAAGCAAACCCTAAAAATTAATAGTTCGTCTTCAGTAACTGCATAGTGACAAACTTATATGAACCTTTTTAGTATATGAGCCAGAAGAATGAATCAGGGATCCTGGAAATCAGTAACTATTTTTTAAATGCAATGGTGTTAAGTCACCTTATAATGTTTTACTATATTATTTTAAAACAACCCTGTTGGTGTCTCTCAAGAGGGGTGGTTAGGAAGGAAAATGGCTCATTTGGATCCAGAGCTAATTGAATAGGAAAACTGATATAAGGTCAATTTATCAAAAGAGATCATGTTGCTAGTTTTCAAGTGTTAAAGGCCCAGAACAAGTCCAAAAAGAACTTGGAAGTCTAATTTAAAATCTGCTTATTTTACTAAATATAAAGAACTTTTAGATTTTAAAGATGAGTCCCAAAAGCAACAAAAAAAGAAGTATTATGCTCATGTAATGACTCTCACTTACCCAGGAAATAGTCACATTGACTCAGTCAATAATTTTCATTCTCTCTCTAGAACCTGTAGAACCACTCCCAGCCATTTACTGGGAAGACACATAATTTTTCTTTGTTGCTGATTTGCTGACAACCAATGCTCTCAGCCCCCCAGCCTCCTAAAAAAATGTGACAGCCAGAAAATGAGATCTCTCCTGTCACTGACTATGACATTTAGTTACTGATTTGGTCCAATAACTCAGGGAGATTTTCAATTTAATGTAGCAGCATAATAATTGTTTGTTTTTCTTCTTCCAAGCTATCTCTAATTACTTTATTTCCAACTTGCACAAGGACTGATAAAGGACATGTACTTTAGCAAGACAATACCAGCTTGTCCTAAGACAATATGTTCCTGGAAAGAGGACACATTTTACTGGCAGAAATTGAAATTTTCAGTTCAAAAGAGGAAAAGGTTTTGACATTTTGCTCTTTTATTGTCTTGGTATGTGTTTTTACAAATTAAAAGCATCTGTCTTATTAAAACATGACCAATTATATCCTAAAGAAAAATCAAATAGTAATTTGGGTCTCATTTCTTCTGTAATTACAATCATGAAGTTAATATGTTAATAGGGCCTTTTATTACTTAGTTGTTTTGCTTTTTTTCCCTTGAAATGCGTAATTGATGTAAAGCTGTTTTTAAAATCTGGGTATATGAGTGAATGCAGAACTTACTTTAGGCACCAGTGTCGTGAAATATCTCTTGGTGTGTAGGCTTTTTTTCTCCCTTTCTCATTTCAGAACTCACTTCTTCAACTTCCTATTACTGTAGCAAATACTTGAGACAAGTTAACTTATAAAGGGAAAGGTTTGTTTGGGCTCATAGTTACATAAGTTCTAGTTCATGATCCACTGGCCCACTGCTTTGAGCCTTTGGCAGCACACATGGCTGGGGCCTGGAGAAAAATAATCACTTCATAACCCCCTCCCACCTCCCAAAAAAGATGAAGAAAAGGATCAGGAGGATTCCACATTCCCCTTCAAAGGTGTACTCCCTGACCAGCAGGACTCCCACTTTGCACTATGTCTTAAAGTTTCCACCACTTCTCCATAGTGTCACATACTGAGGACCGAGCCTTTTTAACATGTGGGACTTTGTGGGACATCCCAGATCCACACCATAGCAAGAATGGAACTGTCAATTATGAGGTGCTTTCATGGGAACTTTTGCTGATTGTTTTTGACAGGACATATGAGACTCCCTCAGGAGTTCTGAGTAAGAGACAATAGTTAAAGACCCCAAAAGGAATCTTTCGTTGTCATCATTTTCCACCTTATCATTCTTCTGTTTCATAAATATCTTTGTTATCTTAATCAAAAATTTTTTGTGTGCTAGTCCTGGGGTTTGAACTCAGGGTCAGAGTGCGAGCCCTGAGCTTTGTTGTTGTTGTTGTTGTTCAAGGCTAGCGCTCTGCCACTTAATCCATAGCTCCACTTCCATATTATTTTTTAGTGATTAAGTGGAAATAAGAGTCTCATTCTTTCTTGCCTGGGCTGGCTTTAACCATGATCCTCAAATTTCAACCTCCTGAGTAGCTAGGATTATATATAAGCCACTGATACCCAGCTGATATATTTTACAAATATGATGATAAACTATGCTTTGTGATCCTCTCCTGAATTAATAACCCTACTTACATCTCTAGCTATATTTCAAAGGCCTTAAAATTCGATAAGATCCCTGTGCTCATCTTCCTCAGACCTACTGAAAAAAACTTTTTACAGATGTGCACTTGTATTTTTAACAAGTTCTTTATTAAAGGATTCATCTACACACTCTAGGATATAGTATGTATATGGATATACACACACTTTAGGATTCTGTCTCCTTTTGTGGTCACTTTTGGACAGTTATTATGGATCCAACAGACTCTATATCCAAAAGTAGATATAGTCCTGCTTTTGTGTCCCGTTTTCTACAAGAGGAAAATATAAACGGGTAGCAAGGAAGAAGAGGCTGATGTGGGTTTTCCCTCGATTTCTTGAAGACTAGGACTGAGTCAAGGCTAGTTTTGTAGCCCTTCAACTGCTTTGGGAATGTAGAAGAGAAGCCAGTCACTCCGTTTTACAACAACATCTGTTTCTAGAACAATGTCTATAAAGCAGGGAACATTTGTTAAGACCTTTCTTGAATGACTGAATTCCTGTGTAAAATGTGTCTTTCAGGGGAGCCCTGCCCAGAGAATGGAAGGAGTCCAGGCTCTGTATCAACCCACCACAGCTCTCCACGCAGTGACTACGCAACCTACACCAACAGCAACCATGCCGCCCCCAGTAGCAATGCCTCGCCCCCTGAAGGCTTCGCCTCCCACAGCCTGCAGACCAGCGACGTGGTCATACACCGCAAAGAGAACGAAGGCTTCGGCTTTGTCATCATCAGCTCCCTGAACAGGCCTGAGTCCGGATCCACCATAAGTAAGTGACTAACTCACTTGCTCTCTGAGAAATGGTTGTGTTTTCATTTGTCCTAATGGTAGGGGAAAACAGACAAATAGGTCAGAGGATGGCTGTAGATACAGTGACTATATAGTTCGGCCTTTCAGGCAATGGGCACAAATAAATCTAAATTATCCTAGCCTTTGGCTCAAGAAGAAGGTACGATCACAACAAATGTTCTTCATTCATTTTCAGGTTGGGAGAAAAAAAAGACAGGGTGATGTGGTGGTGTTGCTGGGAAAGGTAGGGTGCTGGATTTTATGGGTTGGTCAGGGGATACTTCCTTTTTGATTGTGAGCTGTTCAATAGAGTCAACCAAGACATGCAAAGGATGGGAAGCAAGGGAAGAGCAGTCCAGGCTGCAGCCTGCAGATGCAGATGAACGCAGGAGCTTGGTAGTCAAGAAATAAACAGAAGCTCAGTGTGACTGTGGAGTAGTGACCAAAGAAAAGTGGCACAAAATGAAGACATAAAATTAAGCAAGAGCCAAGGGGATAGGCTTCTTAAGCTGTTAGTAAGATATTTATATTCTAGTCTTCTACATGTACAGGAACCAATAGAAAGCTATACACCATGGGCTGAAATCTGACTTCTTAGATTTTAGCTTTTGGAAGATGCTTGTAGAAAGTAAAATTGGGTTGGACAGTCAAAGATGGAAGCATAAGGCATAGGTCATTTAAACAGCCCTGTGGGGCAGAATTACTGAGTCTTCCTGAAAGGAATATAAGAAAGGGTGTAGATGGCTTCAACTTCCGTGTATCCCAGGATTCTAAGTTTCTATAAGTCTGTATGACAGGGGAGACGCCATATTCCCCTTCTAGTCAGTCATTTTCATGGACTTCCAGGATTTCTTAATCCTTCTGCTTTCAGCAACATGTCCCAGAACTCATTTAGCAACCAGCAAACAGCAAAACAAAAGAGGACAATTGCCATTTTTCGTGTTGGCGTACCTTAGTTCAAAATGCTGTGAACAGAAATGCTAAAGCGCAGAAACTTAAAAGAAAAAATAGAAGTTGTACCCATTTTTGCCGTCCTGACAATTAATTCTAAATTGCAGTCATCTCCAGCACATGGGAGCTGAGAGGCACAAATGTCATGTGATAGTTAAAAAAAAAATCAACCCTTGTGAATGAATAACAGATTTATATGATGAAGTTCACATTACCAAAAAAAAAAAAAACTACCAGAACTGTTCTGTTTAGCTTGAGCCATGACAAATTCAAGATGGAAAACTGTAGAAACATTTAACATCCACCAATATGTGCAGAAGTCACCAAATTACATACATCTGAAAGTACAATTTCATTTCTCTTTCTCTTGATGGTGAGCTAAAGAAATAAATCCAGTCTTTAAGCATAGACTAAAAGCAGCCTTCTGTCAGTACGATGGGTTCACTAAGATTAAAAGGACACCAGACTAAAGATTTTCATGAATTATACAAACCGCCTGCCAATAATTTACGCTTGGGGAAAATGTTCACCGAGGTTTTTGTAGTTATTCCAGTCATTCAAATTGTTTATTGGGGCAGAATACCTAGAGGACTGGAATAAAAATAAAATGTATACTGCCACAATAAAAATGTTAAGCATGTATTTAAGGCCTCAGCTTTATGTAAAGTGTGACAGTTCTCTTTCTAAGTGTGTGTGTTTTCTATTGCAAATAAAATCTGTGCATAAATACATTTTGGGGGTAAAACAAGCATTGATGCTTACAATTATTGTGTGAAATTGCTTGCCCACCAAGTGAGATCACATTGACCTCAATAAAAACAAGGTGAGCCACTTTCAAGATGGTATTCCTTTATACCACCCTTGAAAATTGAAATCTATTCTATTAGTTCATGATGCCTTGTAGCTTCTCTTTTTTACATATTTATTTCTTTTCTATTTAAGGAGCTTTAAACCAAATCTACCCCATGCTCTGTGGCTAAAGACACATTGTGCTTACAATGTATTATTTGCAATATATACCTAAAAGGTTCCTGGAGTTGATACTCTCTCCTACTTAATGTCTATAATAATTTTGATCTCTGGTTTTGAAGAGAAATGTTAAGTGCTTTGTGAATTGTTAAAAAAAAAACAAACAAAAAAAAAACCAGCCTTGGGTATCATATCATATCCATTATCAAACGATCCAGGATTCCTAGTCCCTGTGAGACTGACTCTGGGTGAGGCTCTCGGGTGCTCTGCAGTCACTGTTATTCCCAGAATAACTGTCTGCTTGTCTTTTTCACTTTTACTCCAGTCCAAGGATGATTCTCACAATATGTTCAGTTTCCTTTGTTGCTTTGCTTCCTATGACTACTGAAGCCTTTCCGTTGGTGTATAGGGCTATTATGCCTTTGTGGTTAACAGCTTAGATGCTACAATTACTGGATTTGAAGCCTGGTTTTGTCATTACTAGTCATATGACTTGAAGTGCCATGACTTCTTTGGGCCTTTTCTTTCTTGGTTATAAGGAAACGATCACTGTAGCCAGATACTTGTGGGTCATACCTGTAATCTGCTAGCTACTCTGGAGGCTAAGTTCTGGGAACCACGGTTTGAAGCCAGCCTGAACAGAAAAGTCTATGGCACTCTTATCTCCAATTAATCACAAAATGGTGGAAGTAGAGCTGTGGCTCAAGTGATACATGCTAGCCTTGGAAGGGGGGGGGACTAAAAGAGCACACTCTTGCCCTGAATTCTAGCCTCAGTACAAGGAAAGAAGGAAAGAAAGAAAGAAAAAGAAAGAAAGAAAGAAAGAAAGAAAGAAAGAAAGAAAGAAAGAAAGAAAGAAAGAAAGAAAGAAAGAAAGAAAGAAAGAAAGAAAGGAGAGAAAGAAAGAAAAGAAAGAAAGGAGAGAAAGAAAGAGAGGGAGGAAGGAAGGAAGGAAGGAAGGAAGGAAGGAAGGAAGGAAGGAAGGAAGGAAGGAAGGAAGGGGAAGGGAATAAGGAAGGAAGGGAAACAGGGAGGAAGGAAGGGATGGAGGAAGGAAATCTCTGTGTGCTGAAGTTGTGTTAAAGGTTAAAGGTAGAATAGCTCCGGCTCCAACAGCTCATTCTTTTTCAGTAATGCAGAATTCACACAGGCTGTCAGTTACCTATTAGTCAGAGCCAGAGCAGCTGAATCTGAACAGGAAACAAGCGTATCTTAGAGGACCAGTGTCCCCTCCCCATATGTCAGCCTCGTAGGAACATATTCTTTCTCATTACCCACCAACTTGCAGCCTGGGCCAGCAGTGGGGACAGTTAGCAGAGTGGCAGCAACAACCGTCCAGTTGAGTCACTCTTTGTTGAAACTTCAGGCTGAAATTTCAAGTTTATCTTTCTAGAATACACAGTCTATAAGCCAGACAAATAATGAAAAAAATCAAATATCTGGCTCAAATCCACACTCTTTAGAATCTCTCCACAAACATCTGTTTATGTCCTTACTGAATATTATAAGAGCAGAGAGGAGGGATGAACTCTGAATGAATCATATGCCTGTTCTATAAAAATGCCCCAGTGGCTGTGTGTGGGAAGTTTATTAGGCTGGTTCTTGGCCCTTCCTAGCTCAAGGCCTGAGTCTTGACATCTAGGTTTTATTACTGAGCTATAACCTGTCCTTATAGGAGCATCCTACATCCCTACCCTTTCCCTCCTGCCAGGTCATTCCAAGAAAGGATTTACTACAGGTAATGAAATAAAAGTGAACCATAGACTCCACTTTCTCTATCATTTGTTTGGAAGGGTCTATTGGAAATTATGGGGTTGACATACAAGGTATGTGTGGACATCAGGAGCAGAGACTGACAGTCTGTTGAGGGAATTCATAAACTTAGGTACAGGCCTAAAACAAACTGTAAGACAGAGAATATTCAGGATATCAGCCACTGCATCAATCTCAACGCTCTACTCCATAGTAGAACACAATTATCTCCCTTTTCCCTTCATTCATGTTTTCTTTGTAGTATTGACTCAATTTTCTATCTTTATCCACAAGTGTATCATTTCCCAACAATTGCCCAACTGTTGACTCCTCACTAGTCTTTCAGCTCTATCCTCAAGTTGAAAATGTGTTTTTTCCTGCGTACTTTCTTAGACACAAGCTGGACTTTGAACCTAGCCATTGCTGACTTATCCAAGGCCTGCTGTAATCTTATGTTCAGGAAAAAAAACCCTCAGCTTTGGCAAACTGCCCTGATGACCTTCTCAAAATGTCCTTGGTGATATGAGTAGACTACAGAGATGAAATGTAATTCTAGAGAGCCACACACTTATCTGGGGAATTTTGTAATACTTTTAAGCAGCCTCCCATAGAAGGCTGAAACACCTGAGCTAGCAGTGAAAGGGATTAGACTTTTGCCCATCAGCCAGAAAGCCACTAATTGTCACTTGAACTGAAGAGATGCAGAAAGTTAAATGAAAAGCCAAGGTCTCTAAGTCATATCCTATAACAAAGATATTTAACTAAATGAAAAGATCATTGGACATCAAACCTAAGCTTTGCTCCAACTCATCTACCAACTGCCATGTCCCATGGTTTTTCCTTTGCTACAGCCTCACCTAAAATGTAACAAACATGATTTTTAAATCCTCTTCCAGCTCTGAGTTACATTATGGCCACAAATCAAATAGAAGTAAAGGTATTCTATTAGTTCTATTCTTGTTCGTAAAGACCCGAGTCCTTGCCCATCTCCTTCAGGTTTTATTCTTACATGTACAGAAATTTTTGTCTAATTTTTTCCTGCCCCACACCTTTCCTTCTACCAATGAACCTCTTACTACTGCTATTATCATCTTTCTTTTCATGTGCTTCTGCTTTGCCTCTCCCTACCCCCTACAAAGATCGTCAGAAATACAACAAACTGTGACATTTCTCAGAATCTGTCATGGTTCCTGGTAGCAAGCTCTCCAAGGGTTTTCCTGTCATTGATGGTGATAAGATGGGTTTAAATTCTCCTACAGTCATCATGCACTGCCCCTCATCGGAAGTAAATCTGTGAACATGCTCCAT